GTCCCTTACGTTGGTGATCAGTGGGAAGAATGTCCCTTACGTTGGGGTCAGTGGGAAGAATGTCCCTTACGTTGGGGGTCAGTGGGAAGAATGCCCCTTACGTTGGTGGTCAGTGGGAAGAATGTCCCTTACGTTGGTGGTCAGCGGGAAGAATGTTCCTTACGTTGGTGATCAGCGGGAAGAACGTCCCTTACGTTGGTGATCAGCGGGAAGAACGTCCCTTACGTTGGTGATCAGAGGGAAGAACGCCCCTTACGTTGGTGGTCAGTGGGAAGAATGTCCCTTACGTTGGTGGTCAGTGGGAAGAATGTTCCTTACGTTGGGGGTCAGCGGGAAGAATGTTCCTTACGTTGGTGATCAGCGGGAAGAACGATACCCTTACGTTGGTGATCAGCGGGAAGAAGAACGTCCCTTACGTTGGGGGTCAGCGGGAAGAACGTCCCTTACGTTGGTGATCAGTGGGAAGAATGTCCCTTACGTTGGGGGTCAGTGGGAAGAATGTCCCTTACGTTGGGGGGTCAGTGGGAAGAAATGTCCCTTACGTTGGGGGGGGTCAGTGGGAAGAATGTCCCTTACGTTGGGGGGGTCAGTGGGAAGAATGTCCCTTACGTTGGGGGTCAGCGGGAAGAATGTCCCTTACGTTGGGGGTCAGCGGGAAGAATGTCCCTTACGTTGGGGGTCAGCGGGAAGAATGCCCCTTACGTTGGGGGTCAGGGGAAGAATGCCCCTTACGTTGGGGGTCAGCGGGAAGAATGTCCCTTACGTTGGGGGTCAGCCGGAAGAATGTCCCTTACGTTGGGGGTCAGCCGGAAAATGTCCCTTACGTTGGGGGTCACAGGAAGAACCTGTGGGGGTCACAGGACTCCACTGGTCCCACACCAATGACTGCCAAGTGCCGTTGGTCCCATGCTTTCACAGGCACCTTCAGGCAGGGAGTTCATGTGACAAGGCTCACTATACAAGGAACCCCCTGGCACCTCTGAAGAACCCTGGTTTGTAACTGACTTCTTTACACAATGTTCTCCAGCACACGTGTCCCCATTGTACGGTTTCCCCTTTGTTCCTGTTCTGAAGCAACTTCTAATTCTGAGTTTCCGTATCCATCAGTCCCTGAGGTCAGCAGGACAAGCGAGGGTGCCATTCCTTGTGACCACAGTTCAGGTGTTGATAGATTTCATTTGCTATCGCTGGCTGATTCAGGTGCGATGCCAATCCCAACACTGTCACCTCTACCGATACTTCGCTCCAATCACAGGCAACAGCGACATCTTCTGGGCATTTACACAACTGCAATTCTATTCCCCTGAACCAGTGGACACCTTTCTAATGCCGCGACCCCTTAATACAGTTCCTCAATTGTTATGGTCCCCTGAACCAAAACCAAGGATTTCCATTGCTACTTCACTGTAATTTTGCAGGGAAACCTTCAATAGCACCCCATCATTGGCAAGAGGATAGCGCCCCATCAATTGGTGTCAAACCAGAATCTGTTGGTACAGTGGGGGGAATAGTCCCCATCATTGGTGTCAGTGGGAGGAATAGTGCCCCATCATTGGCGTCAGTGGGAGGAATAGCGCACCATCACTGGCGTCAGTGGGAGGAATAGTGCACCATCACTGGGAGGTGTCAAGTGCCCGGAGGAACAGACTGTACATCAGGGGGGGTCACAAGGAACAGGCCCCATCACCCCAGTGGGACTGTACACGATGGGAGGATCACAAGCGCCTGGACTGGTGTCAGTGGGAGGAACTGCGCCCCATCACTGGTGTCAGTGGGAGGGAACAGCGCCCCATCCTGGTGTCAGTGGGAGGAACAGCGCCCCATCACTGTACACGAGGGGAGGAACAGTGCCCCACACTGGTGTCAGTGGAGGAACAGTGCCCCATCACTGGTGTCAGTGGGGAGGAACAGTGCCTGGACCATCACTGGTGTCAGGGGAGGAACAGTGCACCATCACTGGTGTCAGTGGGAGGAACCCCACCATCACTGACTGTCAGTGGGAGGAATCACCATCATTGGGTATCAGTGGGAGGAATAGTGCACCATCATTGGTGTCAGTGGGAGGAATAGTGTCCCATCATTGGTGTCAGTGGGAGGAATAGTGTCCCATCATTGGTATCAGTGGGAGGAATAGTGTCCCCATTGGTGTCAGTGGGAGGAATAGTGCCCCATCATTGGTGTCAGTGGGAGGAATAGTGCACCATCATTGGTGTCAGTGGGAGGAATAGTGCCCCCATTGGTATTAGTGACACCAATGATGGGGCACTATTCCTCCCACGACCCACTATGATACTTACCTTGGTCACAAGCCTGGGCTCCTGAACCCGGTCGCCCCCTCTCCCTGTACACTAGGGACCGGTCACAAGTCTTCCTTCTCCGGCCCTCACCTCCTCTGTACACTAGGGGATGTTCACAAGGCCGCTCGGCTCCTCCTGCCCCAAGCTCCACCTCCTAGCCGGTGAGGATCCGCCTGTGTGCCCTCCTGACACTACAGTTCCGGCGGCCAATCACCGACGAGTAAGGATTGAGGGGGTGTGTCCAAGGCAGGGACGGCATGTCATCCCGCCCCACACCTGGAGACGGATCAAGGAGCGGTGTCCGGTTCCTAAGGCCATCGGAAATATGTGTTTTCTGATGGTCTTAGGGAGGGTCACAACTGACCCCCCCAGACTGTACACTAGGGGAGGTCACCGCCCCTGAACAAAAACCAATGATTCCATTGTACAGAACTCAGGGAAACCTTCAATGCCACCCAACTGCATGAGCACCCCCCAACAAACCAGAATCTGTGCTGAGACATAGGGACGGGGATCAATAGATTCACTTCATACCCAACCCTTAGTATTGTCCACACAGACCGTACACTAGGGGAGGGTCACAAGCCTTGAACCCCGCCCCAGACTGTACACTAGGGGAGGATCACAAGCCCCGGAACCCCGCCCCACTACTCGGGAGGATCACAAGTCCTGAACCCCGCCCACAGACTGTACACTAGGGGAGGATCACAAGCCTTGAACCCCGCCCCCAGACTGTACACTAGAGGAGGGTCACAAGCCTTGAACCCCCCCCCACTGTATCTGTACACTAGGGGAGGGTCACAAGTCCTTGAACCCCGCCCCAGACTGTACACTAGGGGAGGATCACAAGCCTTGAACCCCCCCCACAGACTGTACACTAGGGGAGGATCACAAGCCTTGAACCCCGCCCACAGACTGTACACTAGGGGAGGATCACAAGCCTTGAACCCCGCCCACAGACTGTACACTAGGGGAGGAGGGTCACAAGCCTTGAACCCCGACCCCAGACTGTACACTAGGGGAGGATCACAAGCCTTGAACCCGACCTGCCCACAGACTGTACACTAGGGGAGGATCACAAGCCTTGAACCCCGCCCCCAGACTGTACACTAGGGGAGGATCACAAGCCTTGAACCCCGCCCCCAGACTGTACACTAGGGGAGGATCACAAGCCTTGAACCCCGCCCCCCCAGACTGTACACTAGGGGAGGATCACAAGCCTTCAACCCCGCCCCCAGTCTGTACACTAGGGGAGGATCACAAGCCTTGAACCCCGCCCACAGACTGTACACTACGGGAGGATCACAAGCCTTGAACCCCGCCCACAGACTGTACACTAGGGGAGGATCACAAGCCTTGAACCCCGCCCACAGACTGTACACTAGGGGAGGATCACAAGCCTTGAACCCCGCCCCCAGACTGTACACTAGGGGAGGATCACAAGCCTTCAACCCCGCCCCCAGACTGTACACTAGGGGAGGATCACAAGCCTTCAACCCCGCCCCCAGACTGTACACTAGGGGAGGATCACAAGCCTTCAACCCCGCCCACAGACTGTACACTAGGGGAGGATCACAAGCCTTGAACCCCGCCCACAGACTGTACACTAGGGAGGATCACAAGCCTTCAACCCCGCCCCCAGACTGTACACTAGGGGAGGAATACAAGCCTTGAACCCCGCCCCCAGACTGTACACTAGGGGAGGGTCACAAGCCTTGAACCCCGCCCCCAGACTGTACACTAGGGGAGGATCACAAGCCTTGAACCCGCCCCCAGACTGCATGTTGTTGCAATAAAAAGTCATCTAATGTCATCATTTGTTACTGTAAAGCTGCACTCCAGGCAGATATACAATCCTGAAACTGACTCAGTATCAACCTCTTACAGGCCTCTCAAACTGGAAGAGGGAGAAGCAGCACAAGGAGCCAATCAGTTGCCCCGCAGTGCTCATGTGCTAAAAGGCTGCATACTGATAGGAGGAGAGAGCAGAGTGACAGCTTTGCGCTCATCACCGTGCCGCTTCTCCTTTTACTGGCTGGGGGCGGGTCCAGGAAAGCCCAAGCAATGCCAAACATGACTGAGGACATCTAGTGGCAGACAGTAAGTACTGCAGGAGAGAAAACCTGCTGGAATGAAGCCGAATGCTGCATGGAAAAAAAAAAAAAAAACGCTTTCATTTTTATATCTTTTAACGGTCAATTCATTTTTATCTTGGCTGGAGTTCTGCTTTAAAAAACGGCAGCAGAGGAAAAAAAAAAAAAAAAAAAAAAAAAAAAAACAGGTCTCTGACCCTGCTGTGCAACAGAGCTGTATAAATCTCAGGACTGGATGGATACAACTATTTTGGAAGGTATGTGTGTGTATTGAGCCCATTGCCTGGAGCTCAGCTTCCAATAATTCTTCATAACCCCCCAGAAATCAGGGACAAGACTTAACCACAAACGTTAAATAAACCGATTTATTTTTGTACACTAGAACGATTGAAAATGGCGTCACCCAATGATCCTGCGGACCAATCACGGCATTCAGGACTTCTTCCCCCCATAAAGGCGTCCGTTCAACATTCAAAATCGATACATCCGTGGCAGAGGTCACATGAGGCGAGGACGGAGGGCGCTGCAATCTCCCGCAGGGCCCCCCCGATCGCATACGAAGGGCCCCGTTTGGTGTCAAGGCCGCATACGAAGGGGCCCCCGTTTGGTGTCAAGGCTGCATACGAAGGGCCCCGTCCAGGCGGATCACCTCTCCGTTCAGCATGGAGTTCTCCACAATGGATTGGACCAGGTGGGCGTACTCGTCAGGATGGCCCAGTCTGCTGGGGCAGGGGACCTGCTGGGCCAGGAACGCTCTCGCCCTTTCAGGAAGTCCCATCAGGAGCGGGGTCGCAAATAGACCTGAAAAACGAGAGAAGATTGTAAACGGAACGTTTCCTTTCAAATCGACGGCCATACACGGGTCAAAATTCGACCGATTTTTTTTTTGTCCGAAAATCGGACCTAAGAATAATCAGCCGATTGTCGCTCTGTTAGTGGGGTCAATGGCACCGGATGATTTTCGTGGCTCCTCCCCTTTTCGGTGATCGGGCGTGTTGGAAAGTTCGTGAAAAAAGACCGATTTTCGACTCAAGCAAATCGTACGATCGTTTTTCACGAAAAGAATCTGCGCATGAGGCGTGGCCTGGAAGGAACAGAAGATTCACCTGTTATATGGGGGGAACTTTATGACTCGGTTGGCCGATTTTCGAAATCAATGATGGCGCCATCGGATTACCGAGCGAACGACGTTTCTGATTTTTGGATGAAAAATCGTTTGGAATTTGAACCATGTATGGCCTGCATGAGACGTATCCGCCAGAGGATTTCCTCCCCCTTCCTTCCTGAACACGCCATTTGTTTGCGTTACGGCACTCCGTTACTTTAACTGCCAATTGCGCGGTCATGCAACGCTGCACACAAAGGAAATTTATGTCCTTTTTTTTTCACACAAATAGAGCTTTCTTTTGGTGGTATTTGACGCTTTCACCCCCCTTCCAGTCCGGACACTTCCCCCCCCCCCCCCCCTTCCAGTCCCCACGCTTTCCCCCCCCCCCCCTTCCAGTCCCCACGCTTCCCCCCCCCCCCTTCCAGTCCCCGCGCTTTCACCCCCCCTTCCAGTCCCGACATTTTCCCCCCCTTCCAGTCCCGACGCTTCCCCCCCCCCCCCTTTCAGTCCCGACGCTTTCCCCCCCCCCCCTTCCAGTCCCGACGCGCCCCCCCCCCCCCTTCCAGTCCCCACGCTCCCGACGCTTTCCCCCCCCCCCCCCCTTCCAGTCCCGACGCTTCCCCCCCCCCCCCCCCCCCTTCCAGTCCCGACGCTTTCCCCCCCCCCCCCTTCCAGTCCCGACGCTTTCCCCCCCCCCCCCTTCCAGTCCCGACGCTTTCCCCCCCCCCCCCCCCCCCCCTTTCCCCCCCCCCTTCCAGTCCCGACGCTTTCCCCCCCCCCTTCCACCCTTTTCCGACCCCCCCCCCCTTCCAGTCCCGACGCTTTCCCCCCCCCCCCTTCCAGTCCGGACGCTTTCCCCCCCCCCCTTCCAGTCCCGGACGCTTTCCCCCCCCCCCCTTCCAGTCCCGACGCTTTCCCCCCCCTTCCAGTCCGGTCCCCCCCCCCCAGTCCGGACACTTTTACTCCCCTTCCAGTCCGGACACCCCCCTTCCAGTCCCGACACTTTCCCCCCCCTTCCAGTCCGGACACTTTCCCCCCCCTTCCAGTCCGGACACTTTCCCCCCCTTCCAGTCCGGACACTTTCCCCCCCCTTCCAGTCCGGACACTTTCCCCCCCCTTCCAGTCCGGACACTTTCCCCCCCCCTTCCAGTCCGGACACTTTCCCCCCCTCCCCCGGACACTTTCCCCCCCCTTCCAGTCCGGACACTTTTACTCCCCTTCCAGTCCGGACACACTTTTCCCCCCCCTTCCAGTCCGGACGCTTTCCCCCCCTTCCAGTTTGGACCCTCCCCCCCTTCCAGTCCGGACACTTCCCCCCCCCTTCCAGTCCGGACACTTTCCCCCCCCTTCCAGTCCCCACTCCTTTCCCCCCCCTTCCAGTCCGGACACTTTCCCCCCCCTTCCAGTCCGGACACTTTCCCCCCCTTCCAGTCCGGACACTTTCCCCCCCCTTCCAGTCCGGACACTTTTACCCCCCTTCCAGTCCGGACACTTTCCCCCCCCCTTCAGTCCGGACACTTTCCCCCCCCTTCCAGTCCGGACACTTCCAGTCCGGACACCCCCCCCCTTCCAGGACACTTTTACCCCCCCTTCCACGGACACTTTCCCCCCCCTTCCAGTCCGGACACTTTCCCCCCCCTTCCAGTCCGGACACTCCCCCCCTTCCAGTCCGGACACTTTCCCCCCCCCTTCCAGTCCGGACACTTTCCCCCCCCTTCCAGTCCGGACACTTTCCCCCCCCCCTTCCAGTCCGGACACTTTCCCCCCCCTTCCAGTCCGGACACTTTTTTTCCCCCCCCTTCCAGTCCGGACACTTTCACCCCCCCCTTCCAGTCCGGACACTTTTACTCCCCTTCCAGTCCGGACACTTTCCCCCCCCTTCCAGTCCGGACACTTTCCCCCCCTTCCTGCTCAGGCCAATTTTCAGCTTTCAGCACTCTCACACTTTGAATGGCAATTGCGCGGTCATGCAACACTGTACCCATATGAATTTTTTAGCATTTGTTTGAGACAGATAAAGCTTTATTTTGGTGGTATTTATTCACCGCTGGGATTTTTTTTATTTTTTTTTTGCTATGTAAATGAAAATGAAAAAGTCCAAACATTTAAAAAAAAAAAAAAAAAAAAAGTGTTTTTCTTATAAAATTTTGCAAATACATAATATTTCATCAGAAATCATTGCCATAATGTATCCCGTTATCTGTTTAGTAGTAAAAAAAAAAAAAAAAAATAACCCAAATTAGTTTATAACCAAAAATTATAATTTTTAAACATTTTTTTTTACATTTTAATTTTTTTATATTATTTTTTATTTTTATAACACACTGTCACCCTGGCAGTAGTGTCACCATGGTGACACTGTACTACTTGTGGGGGGAGATGAAGATTTTTTCACGGATTGCTTTTACACCCATATAGGCTGTAAAAGCAATCATTTCTCCTTCTCTCTGACTGCATTCCTGCAGCCATTGAGAAATACTGAGTGAGCTGTGATTGGTCACAGCTTGTCACATGGTACAAGGCTGTTGTGAATAGCCCTGTACCATGTGACCTCTGTGATCATTCACAGATTTCACACGTAGTAAGCAATGATGTCAGAAGTGACATCTTGCTTACCACTCTGCATGTGATCACTGATTGGCCAATTAGTGATCACATGATCGGGATCTCGTACAGAGGTACTGTATGACGATCGGTGTTTCACTGTGTCCGGAGGACACAACAGGCACCGGATCGTGGTGCTGCACGCTCCCAGGGATCGCGCACAAGCAGGGTGAGGGGAGGCCGTTTATAAACAGCCACCCGACCCTGCAGTGCCACCGTCCGGCCGTTTATATACAACAGCCGCACAGGAGGTGGTTAAACATGTTCAGTAAAACTTTTTTTTTGGAAAAAAAAAAAAAAAAAAATAAAAAAAAAATAAATAAATCAAGTTTCGTCACAAATTTAGGTTCAAATGTATTCTGTGACGTCTTTGCTAAAAAAAAAAAAAAAAAAAAAAAAAAAAAAAAAAAAAAAGACACACCCCAAGAAAAAAAAAAAAAAAAAAAAAAAAAAAACTAAAAAAATCCCAATATGTGTAAATTCATTGGTTTATGTGAAAGTTATAGTGTTCACAAATGGCGGTATATATATATATATATATATATATACATATATATATATATATATATATATATATATATATATATATATATATAATATATATATATATACACATACACACACACACACACATATACATACAGAATTTTTTTTTTTTTTTTTTAAATAGTAATGGCGGCGATCAGCGACTTATGGCGGGACTGCGGCGGGCATCCTTGACACTGGATGGGGAACTGATTTGGTGTCACGGACGTCCCCAGTGACACCAATACAATGATCAGTACTAATAAAAAGCACTGACACTGTACTAATGGCACTGGGCAGGAAGGGGTTAACATGAAGGGCGATCAAAGGGTTAACTGTGTGCTGTTTTACTGTGTCTGTGTGCTTTACTGTACGCATGCTGCTATGCGCAGCCATACAAAAGCAGTGTGCAGGAGCTGACAGGGGAGAGATCTGCATCGTTTACATACAGATCTCTCCACCGTCGGAGATACTCGACGATCCCCGAGTGCCGGTGAGTAATCACCGGCTGGTACCCGGTGATTGACAGCCGAGGCGGCGAATGGCGGCGCAGGTCTTTGCGCACCCCCGCCGTCCTGTAGCGTTACTTCTGCTATAGAGCGGCGGAGGGGGGGGGGGGGAGCTGTTAAATAAAGTGTCCCTGTCACTTTAAGAAATAAATAAGCCACTACCGGGAGCGATGGTGACAACTCTAATTCCGAGCGGAGCCAGATCCCGAGCGATGGGCAGCGTCATCGATACAATTCCTCCTTTGGAGGCCGCGTACGCCGCTTGCCCGACCTGCAAAAGAACATTTAAAATTTGGGTGCTGGTTGTGTCCGGTCCACATTGCCTCCCTGTTTCTAAAATAAAATGTTAGACAAAATATTCCTAAAACACAATCCAAGCAAAGAAAAAAAAAAAAAAAAAAAAAAAAAAAAAAAAAAAAAAAAACACCACAGCCTTTGCCCACGCAGTACTAGCTTTTGGCCACTAGATGTCCTCAGAATGCTGGTTAGCATCTTTCAACCCACTTCCCTCTGAGCCCAGGCCATCCTTTTTGGCTTGGCGTCAGTCCCTACTCTCAGGCTGCGAGAGGGAGAAGCAGCACAAGGAGCCAAATCGGTTGTGCAAGAGTAAGACCGGGCAGTGACAGGAGGAGAAGCACAGCGATTCCCAAAAAAAAAACCCCCCCCAAAAAAAAAAAACAAACCCCCCCCCACCAAAAAAAACCAAACCCCCAAACAAACCCAAAAAAAAAATACAACCCCCCCCCGAAAAAAAAAAAAAAAAACACCAAAAAAAAAAACAAAAAAAAAAAAAAAAAAAAAAAACCCCTGAAGAAAAAAAAAAAAAAAAAAAACAAAACCCCCCAAAAAAACCCAACAACGAAACAAAAAAAAACAACCCCCCCCCCCAAAAAAAAAAAAAACACCAAAAAAAACAAAAAAAAACACCAAAAAAAAAAAAGCCCCCCAAAAACAAATCCCCCCCAAAAAAAAAACCAAACCCCCCCAAAAAAAAAAACAAAAAACCCCCCCCACCCCCCCAAAAACACCCCCAACCACCCCCACCCCAACAAAAAAAGCCCCCCAAAAACAAATCCAAATCCCCCCACCAAAAAAACCAAACCCCCCCAAAAAAACAAAAAAAACCCCCCAGCCCCCCCCAAAAATACAACCCCCCCCCTCCCCCCGAAAAAAAAACAAAAAAAAACCCAAAAAAAATCTGAAAAAAAAAACCCCTGAAGAAAAAAAGAAAAACAAAACCCCAAAAAAACCCAACAACGAAACAAAAAAAACAACCCCTCCCCCAAGAAAAAAAAAAAAAATCAACCCCACATGCAATCCCTATTAGTTTGATTCCGTAAAACGCTGACCTGCCCATCAAAAGCGGCGATGCTGGCGGTGTTCACTATGACCCCCCGTTGTCCCTCATTATCCTGGCTCATTCTTCCACATCTCTCCTGCGGCCAGACGAATGACATTGAATGTCCCCGCGATGTTCACCTAAAAGAGGATCGAAAAAGCGCCACATAAGATCAGGGGTACGGAATTCCAATTCACAGGAGGTCTGCATACCTCCCTAGCAAAACACACACAGCATGCATAGTAAAGCACACAGTTAACCCTTTGATCGCCCCTCATGTTAACCCCTTCCTGCCCAGTGCCATTAGTACAGTGTCAGTGCTTTTTTATTAGCACCGATCACTGTATTGGTGTCACTGGGGATGTCAGTGACACCAAGTCAGTTCCCCCCCCCCCACCAGTGTCAGAATGCCCGCCGCAGTCCCGCTAGAAGTCGCTGATCGCCGCCATTACTAGTATAAAAAAAAAAAAAAGTTACAATAAAAATCCCAGTATGTATACCGCCATTGGTAGACGCTACAACTGTCACGTAAACCAATTCATTTACACGTATTGGGATTTTTTTTTTTTTTTTTTTTTTTTTTTTTTAACACGGAGCAGAGTACGTTTTGGCCTAAATTTATGACAAAATATATGATTTTTTTTTTTTTTACTGGATTTATTTAATAGCAAAAAGTAAAAAAAATAAATTTTTTTCGGGGGTTTTTTTTTTTTTCAGAATGGTTGGTCTTTTTTTGTTTATAGCGCAAAAAAAAAAAAAAAAAAAAAAAAAAAAACCGCCCAGGTGATCAAATACTACCGAAAGAAAGCTCCATTTGTGGCGAAAAAAAAAAAAAAAACAAAAAAAAAACAAACAACACGAAAATTTAACCATTAGCCGGCCAATGGCCGTTTGGCGGCTTCAAAACAGTCTCTGCATTCCGGGTGCACTCCATTTGGCGTGCTCCCGCACATGCGCCGTTTGCGCTAATGCAGAGCGGCGCAGCAGTGCGATCTGTCATCGGCCGTGTACCTTGGACACGGCCGATGACAGATCCGAGTACCGCTCCCGTTGCTGATACCATGTGACCTGCTGTGACCAATCACAGCAAGTCACATGACAGTTGTATACAATGGATGGCTTCATTCATGATGCCATCCATTGTATACTAGTGCCTAGCTGTGAATGGTCACAGCTAATCACATGCACATGTCATGTGATTAGCTGTGACCAAATCACAGCTAAGCACAAAAAAAAAAAAAAAAAAGCTGAATGAATCGATTTCATTCAGGTAAATGCTTGCTTATAACAAAGTAATTCTTTGCTATAAGCAAATTGTGTAAGAAAAAAAAAAAAAAAAAAAAAAAATACTGATCACTTTCTCAAAGTAGTACAATGTTACTATGGTAACATTGTACTACTTTGGTCATAGTAAAATATGAAAAAAAAAAATCTTAAAAAAAAAAAAAAATGTAATAAAAAATTAAATATAATAAAAAAAATATATATATATTTTTTTTTTCATACTGTCACCAGTCAGTGTCCCTGATCACCGCCATGCCAGTTATATGATGACGCTGTACTGCACTGGTGACAGTATGTAAAAAAAAAAAAAAAAAAAAAAAAAAGTGAAAATAATTTTTTTAATTTTTTCATTTTCCAAAAAATTATGACAAAAAAATACAACTTCAAAAAACTCGCCATGCCTCTTATGAAGTACGTCGGACTGTCTACTCTGCAAAAAGGGGCCATTTGGGGATATCTGTCCTGTTCTGACATTTGGGGGGATACCTGTACTGTCCTGACATTTGGGGGATATCTGTACCGTCCTGACATTTGGGGGATATCTGTACCGTCCTGACATTTGGGGGGATATCTGTACCGTCCTGACATTTGGGGGGATATCTGTACCGTTCTGACATTTGGGGGATATCTGTACCGTTCTGACATTTGGGGGATATCTGTACCGTTCTGACATTTGGGGGATATCTGTACCGTCCTGACATTTGGGGGATATCTGTACCGTCCTGACATTTGGGGGATATCTGTACCGTCCTGACATTTGGGGGATATCTGTACCGTCCTGACATTTGGGGGGATATCTGTCCTGACATTTGGGGGATATCTGTACCGTTCTGACATTTGGGGGATATCTGTACCGTTCTGACATTTGGGGGATATCTGTACCGTTCTGACATTTGGGGGATATCTGTACCGTTCTGACATTTGGGGGATATCTGTACCGTTCTGACATTTGGGGGATATCTGTACCGTTCTGACATTTGGGGGATATCTGTACCGTTCTGACATTTGGGGGATATCTGTACCGTTCTGACATTTGGGGGATATCTGTACCGTTCTGACATTTGGGGGATATCTGTACCGTTCTGACATTTGGGGGATATCTGTACCGTCCTGACATTTGGGGGATATCTGTACCGTCCTGACATTTGGGGGATATCTGTACCGTCCTGACATTTGGGGGATATCTGTACTGTCCTGACATTTGGGGGATATCTGTCCTGTCCTGACATTTGGGGGATATCTGTACCGTTCTGACATTTTTGGGGGATATCTGTACCGTCCTGACATTTGGGGGGATATCTGTACCGTCCTGACATTTGGGGGATATCTGTACTGTCCTGACAATTGGGGGATATCTGTACCGTCCTGACATTTGGGGGATATCTGTACCGTCCTGACATTTGGGGGATATCTGTACCGTCCTGACATTTGGGGGGGATATCTGTACCGTTCTGACATTTGGGGGGATATCTGTACTGTCCTGACATTTGGGGGATATCTGTACTGTTCTGACATTCTTGGACCTCAAGAAATTAGATTGGCTGTCAGTACTTCAGGATTGATCAATATTCAGATCTATACCATAGTTTGTGAACTCTATAACTTTCCTACAAACTAAATAATACATCTAATTTGGGTTATTTTCACCAAAGACATGTAGCAGAATACATCTCGGCCTAAATTTATGAAGAAAAATTATTTATTCGCAAACTTTTATAACAGAAACAAAAAAAAAACATGTTTTTTTTCAAATATTTTGGTCTTTTTTTGTTAATTTAGCAAAAAATAAAAACCCCAGCGGTGATTAAATACCACCAAAAGAAAGCTCTAGTTGTGTGAAGAAAATGATAAAATTTTAGTTTGGGTACAATGTTGTATGACCGCGCAATTGTCATTCAAAGTGTGAGAGAGCTGAAACCTGAAAAATGGCCTGGGGGGCAGGAAGGGGTAAAATTGCCCGGTATTGAAACGGTTAATTTGGGTGCGGCGTTGCATGAGCGCGCAATTGTTTGATAAAATAATGCAGCGCTGTATCGCAAAAAATGGCCTGGTCAGGAAGGGGGAAAGGGTAAATCCTCTGGAGGGCGAGGGGTTAAAGTGACAGGAAATATGGAGTTCAGCTTTCAAATGATATTAAAGCTTTGTTGATTTTTTTTAAAGGAAAAAAAAAAAAAAAAAAACAAAAAAAAAAACAACAAACATGATATACTTCCCTGTTCTGTGTAATGGTTTTGCACAGAGCAGCCCTCATCCTCCTCTTGTTGGGCTCCCCCGCTGGCGCTCCTGCCCCTTGACCAGTGGCCCACAATAGAAGGCTGCCCGCTACGGGGGCACTGGTGCATGCTCGCTCCTGAACCCTGCCATACAGCTGCACCTGGCCCCGCCCCCGGCCCTAAACTCATTGGCTCACTGGCTGTGACTGATGCCTCTGCCAATGAGGATGGAGAGACCTGGGACAGCTGAGGCTCTTGTGCACATCACTGGATCGAGATGGGGCTCAGGTAAGTATTAGGTGGGGCACTGCTGCACACAGAAGGTTTTTTCGGTTCATACACAAAAATACATGAAAGTAAAAAAAAAAAAAAAAACAAAAACAAAAACAAAAAAACAAAAAACAAAAACAAAAACAAAAAAAAAACAAAACACTTTCAGCCTTTACAACTACTCTAGAGGATTAACCCCCCCCCCCCAGGCCATTTTTGTGTTATGGCACTGCGTTACTTTAACTGACAATTGCGCGGTCATGCAACGCCGCACCCAAATTAAATTTACATCCTTTTTTTTTCCCCCCACAAACCGAGTTTTCTTTTGGTGGTATCTGACCGCCTGTGCGTTTTTTTGCTCTATAAGCAATTTTGAGAAAAAAAAAAATATATATATATATTTTGGACGTTTTGCTATTAAAAATGTCCAGTTAAAAAAAAAAAACAAAAAAAAAAAAAATATGTTTTAAGAAAACAAAATTTCGTCAAAAATTTAGGTCAAAATGTATTCTGCTCCGAGTCTCTGCTAAAAAAAAAAAAAAAAAAAAGTGTAAATTACTTGGTTGAGGTGCAAGTTATAGCGTATACACTTTGCGGTATAGATACTGGGATTTTTGTTTTTCTACTAGTAATGGCGGTAAATCAGCAACTTTTAGCAGGACAGCGGCGGGCATTCTGACACGGGGGTGGGGTGGGGGGGGGGGGGGGGGGGGCGGGGGGGGGGGGGGGGGGGGGGGGGGGGGGGGGGGGGGGGGGGGGGGGGGCAACTGACATGGTGTCACTGACATCCCCAGTGACACTAATATAGTGATCAGTGCTAAGAAAAGAAAAAAACAAACAAAAAAAAAAAAAACCACAAACACACTGACACTGTACTAATGACGCTGGGCAAGAAGGAGTTAATATGAGGGGTGATCAAAGGGTTAACTGTGTGCTGGGAGTGTTTTACTAGGGGGCGTGGCCTGTGTTCTTCACTGTAATCACACTGATCAAGATGGCTGTGCTGTGCAGTGTGCCTGAGATGACAGGGAGGAAGATTGCTTGTAAAAAAAAAAAACAAAAAAAAAAAAAAAAAAAAAACCACACAACAAAAAAAACAAAAAGACCAACAAACCGTCAGAGATGCTCGGTAATCACCAGGCACCGGCCCATAGCTGGAAATCCACTGCGCACGCACAAGCTTGTATGGCAGCATTGTGACTAGTCCTGCAGCCTCATGGGACATGTGACATATCAGGAGGGGAGAGGGGTGGGGCAAGGGGCGTCATCCTCCCCTAGGTGAGAATTTCAGAAGTGTTCTGTGTACTGTAGGAGACCGGATATAG